CATCAAGACTTACAGGTTTGGTAGCCTTTGACGTGGACCTGCATTGCGCTGCTAGTTGGGATGATTGCACAGCTAAATTATGGCACACATCTGCCAGCTTTGTACACTGTCCATGCCGGTTATTTATGCTTTAGCTGTGCAACTATTTGCTCCTGGACAAATGTAGCAGATACCCTTTTTAGTATAGCGTGGTGGTGCAGAGTGTGCTGGTGTAGAGTCCTAGTGAAATGCCCCTCAATGTTTATAAATGCCAAAGATATTCACTACTTTGCTACATAAAGTAGAAATGAAGAGTGAAGTAGATTTTTGTCAAGGCTGGAGTATACTGTGCTTTTGGTAGAAAAATCACCCAGAATACCTGTAGAGTTTCTTTTGAAGTGACTAAGTAAAAGGACTGCTCTGCGGATTTTTCAACCATCTCTATGTATTTGTTACATTTTAGCAAATATACACATTACAGAGTCAGCTCTTCCCATTTCTGTGGGCAAGCTGTCTTCGTTTATCCCAAACCACATCTGAAGGTGCCGTCACATCCTGAGCAGTAGGAAAAAAAGTTTTCAATCTTGGAACACTCAAGATTTAAACCAAGGAAACCAAGTTTAGATTGTTATTCTTGAGAAGCTAAGTATTTGTTGCTGCTCAGGATGTGAGTCCATCCTCAGGATTTGTAGATGTCATTAAAATGTCTAAAAGTGACTAAATATATGTTATATATTTTGTAGAGTAGTGTACTTACTTTATCTTATACATTTCCATGAATTTTCAAACGAGAAATCCGTGATTTTAATCATGGTAACGGTCCGTTTCATCTGGTCATCTGTCAATGGTGTCATATCGCCTTTGTGCATGCGTCGGCGTTATAGTTGTCTGCAAGAAGTGGTCAAAATTTACTCTTTACCTACATACATACATACATACATACATACATACATTATTTAGGTCTTAGTTGTCCTAACTATATATTTTAACTGGATGAAGGATTTTAGTCATTGGACATCTGGATCATAAGTTATCAGAGAAACAAGCTGAGCAAACGTTAGTGGCAGCTCAACTCCCAGTCCCCCCAAGACATCCTCTGCTTGCTGAAGAGTGTCAGAGAAATACTGATTTTTAACGTTAAACTGCTTTATTCAATGTTTTACTAGTTTTAATCCCCTGGTCCATTTGTTTTGGAGAGGAGGAGGAGACCTCTTTGGATAATTCCAGTAGTGCCAAAACCTCCTGAATGACAGACACTGAAGGAATCCTAACCGGGAACCTCGCGATATCACCGAACCGCGTTTTTTATTTTTGATTTGATTGCGAGATGCCATAGCGGCAGTAGTTACAAGCTGTACGCTTAATAAAAGCTACCCACATTAAATTGAAACAAATGTGTAGAGATGAGGTTGAAATAAAATGCAACATGGTTCTTTTTTATCTTAAATCAGATCACCCCAATTGGTTAGGCATTCTTCTGCACCTGTTTCTGATTTCTTGTCTCTGATTTCTTCAGCATCGTGATGGATGGCTGATCCCGTTTTTCTGCTACCAGCTGTTTGACTTTGCTCTGAGCTGCCTGGTGGCCATCAGTTCTCTCACCTACCTACCCAGGATCAAGGACTACCTGGACCAGCTGGTCAGTCCCAGCAGCCCACACTCTTGATATTACCAGACTCAATCACACTACCCCTCCTGTGTTAGTTTTACCTTAGAGAACCGTGACACAGTCTACATATTGGAGAATACAGTTTTTATAACCAATTGCCCATTGTTTCGTACGATTTTAATGTGAATCTTATGTTCTTACACATTCATTAATTGTTTCCTTCTACAAAAGGACACTGTTTTTAGAGTATGATTCCACATTTAAAGAAACTGAGGAGAACAGTGGGGGAAATGCAAATGAGCTGCTGACTATGCAGTTGTTAAGTCCCTTAAACTAATTACGAAAACAGTCAGAAGCAAACTACATTGTTTCCTCAGCCCCAAATCCCCACAGATATCATCAGTTTTTTTGCTTATTAGTTCAGTGGTAGTATTGATGGTGATGTGAGATGAATAAGTATGAAGAGGTTTTATTGATTATCTGACTTTGTCTGTTCTTTTCATCCTCAGCCGGATTTCCCGTACAAGGATAACCTCCTCTCTCTGGACTCCAGCTGCCTGCTGCTCTTTGTGTTAGTCTTCTTTGCCTTCCTGATCATCCTCAAGGTGAAACTATTGGTTATTCACAGTAAAGCCTGGTTTACTCAGTATTGGTTTATTTAATGTATGTCCTCCTAAAGCAAACAAATATAAAAAGGAATGGAATATAGTAAAATGAGAAAACTGATAGTAATTGCCTGTCTGTGCGTTCAGTAAAGGGGTGAATTCAAGACATGGTTTGCAGAGCTAGGCTATGGCTAACATTTTTCTGTGTACTAACAACACTGGAGCTGTCATATTTACATTTTTCTGGTTTATTTAACTTGTAGGAATTAAAAAAACAAGGAGTTGTGGTTTAGCAAATCGAAGGATTGAAGCTATTTACTGATGGTTTAATTACTCTAAAAATCCAAATACAATCTTATATCTGTTTTGCAGGCTTACCTGATCAACTGTGTGTGGAACTGCTACAAGTACATCAACAACAGGAACATGCCAGAGATTGCTGTCTACCCTGCCTTTGAGACCCCTCCCCAGGTACGAAATCTACCTGTGATGCCCTGTGATTGACCATTAAGGTTTTTATCAGGAGCATCTAATGTCACGATAAGGCACTGGACACAGATGCAGCAATGTGTAATGTTTAAGTGAAGCCAGCAGGTGGCATGCTGTCCACACAAAAAGGTCTGAAAAGCCACATTAGCCTATTGCTGTGGCCTAATAAAGTCATTGTGCGGAAGAGGGTTAATCCAAAAGCAGAACAGAGTCATCTATCGTAAACTGCTCATCATTTTGTCATTGTTATTGTGGGATTTTTACTTTAGTGATTATCATAAAGATTGTTTTATCACCCGGCCCTACAGTGAAGCACAAATTTTTTGTAGCGGTGTACAAACACAACCTTATGATGTGTGTGCACCCTTGTTCCTCTGCTCAGAAACATCTTTAATCTTTATCATTTTTTTCCCTTTCTCTCCAGTACATCCTGCCCACTTACGAGATGGCAATGAAGATGCCAGAGAAGGAACCTCCTCCTCCTTACATGCCTGCTTAAGCACCAGCACCAGTTGTTGCCAAAACGCACGCACGCGCGCACGCACACACACACACACACACACACACACACACACACACACACACACACACACACTTGCACACACACCCATATGCATTCCTACATTCCCTCACTAAACCTTTCTGAACACCATTACGCCCTTATCCCCTCCCCTGACCTACTGTGTATGTGTAAGGCCACTGAAGACGCTTTGTTCAACCCTACCCGGCTCGCTGTATTTCTATAGACTGTCTATAGAAGTGTGAGAGGAGGAAGGTGGGAAAGATAGAGATCTGTGTGAAATAAATGAATGAATGTGATGACTGAAAAGCAACGGAAGCTACCAGCCCATTTCCCCTCTGGCCTTTTTTATGTCTTAGTAAAAGGGATACATGTGAAAAATTTAATTAAATTGCTTGAAATGCTCTCATCAATCCAGCACCATCCTATCTATAGATTGATATATGAAGTGTTAAAAAAAATATTATGACAATCCACTTATTATAGCTCTTTATTGTTGAATTGTTACTTTTTTCCCTAATTATTAATATCTAGACTATTCGTTCTCAGTCTTGAATGGAGTCTGTAGCTCTTTTTTGTCTGTTATTTATTTAGCTTTGCTGTGGTTCAGTTCACGCACCGCCCCCACCCCCACCCCCCTGCCAACATTTTCATCACTCTCTGCTGCCCTGTGTTAGCAAAGCTAGTGATTAGTTTTCCAGCTGAGTCTGAAAGAGAGAGAAAGAAACAGCAGTGGGCACTGATGGTGGATCATTGCCTCTGCTTCCTTCTCACCTAACATCTGGAGCAAACAGTTAGTCTTGTGAACATAAGTAGTTGCATGCTTATCAAACCCCCCACACCCCATTACTTTACTGGTAATATGATTTTATCCTAGTGGAAACACATTTGACTTCAATAAACATTTCAGAACATTTATATCTCCAGTTGACTTTTGTTCATGTCAGATATGCTGAAGTAAATTCAATAAAGAGATTAATAGCAAAGTCGGTATGTGTTGTGTTGTTGACAAAAACAAATCTCAGCTCAAGCTCAAACTTTTTAGTTTGCACGGTTGTCATGGAAATAGAAATGTTCAAATGTTCATTTCTTGGCAGACTTTTCATTTATGGTGGCTGAAAAGTAGCTGTTCTGATATTAAATGGACCTTGAGATGAAATTGTTTTTTCAACTGCTGCTTCCAAGACTAAACTATGAAGATCAAATCTTCTAATGTCATTGGGAAGTGAGGATGAAAGCTGTACAAGTGTTGTCTAGCATGCACTTTAACCATAGTAATAATGTAGGTTTTTTTTTTAGCATTTACATCTTCTTTCATTAAAAAAAATGTATTATTGAGGAGTTAATTTTATTTAATATGTTAAAACCAGTCATTACAAACACTGAGGTCTTTTTGGTTTCAGAATTTCTTACATCTCTGAGTGGTACTGGGGAGGCTTTAGCTCTGTATTTCTGAAATCCTGGCTCCACCCTTGATCACAATGAGGAAATCAGCTTTTCAGAAATAAATGAGGCAATTGAAGAAAGGGGGAAAAATATCTATAAAGTTATAAAGCTCCCCCAGACTGCAGATTAGGATAGATTATTTAAATCTTTTTGTATAAAGTCCTCCACATACCATTGTTTACCGTGGCCTGCAGGTCATGTCCCACCTTTGGATTGGGTCGACAGTTTGACGTGTTGCACTGAGAGCTCCTCATATGAGGGGGCGGTCAGACCCCTGCTGAGCTGAACAGGACCCTCAGAGACAGAGCGCAGACACTGGACAGACCACCAGAGGACTCTGTGTGCAGATATGATGAAGTCTTTCCCCTGGAGCCTCTTGTACTGTGCTTCCCTGCTGCTGTCTGATGTACTGGGCACATATCACCTCAATGCAGGAGATCCTCACCTGATAGCTGCACAAAGCTACGCTCAAACCAGGAATAATGGTCGACCACCACTCAGGACCCTGAATCCAGCAAGTAAGTTTTACTGAAGTCTCTAAAATACTTTTTTACTCTTGCTGAAAGACAGTTTCAGCCAGTAGCTTCTGGTACTGGTGGAAGAAATTAAGTAAACTGATCACAGTAAAAAAAACAAAAAAACACCAGTGCTGAAAAGTAAAGTACATTTACTCAAGTATTGTACTTAGGTAATTACAGGTGCTTGTAATTTACTTGAGTATTTCTATCCTACAGCATTCTTCTGCTCCACAGAGAGAAATACTCTCTTCACTTAACTAATTTTATTTTCATTTAAGATTTTACAGTGAAAAGGATTATTATAAGTTTAAATACACTGCTAAAAATGAGCTAGTTGGGACCCCTCGTCAAGTTTCAGACATGTATGCCATCCAATAAATTATCCAATATTTCACAAAAAAGCTCAAATTAGATTAAAGACAAAATTAATACAAATTTGTGTAGCAGTACATTAATCATCTTCCGACCCCTCAGATTTATGGTGTGTCCCTGTGGAAGGGCTCGATCCTTACATCGAGGTCAACTGGAAGAAGTAGCTCCACCTCAATCATCTGCAACAATAAAATTCTACTTGTGCATCAATCAGTATTAACAATAATGTTCTATGTAGTAATATATCAGTCACAGAGGTTTGATTTTTCTGCAGAACGAGTACTTTTACTCGTATTATACTCGTACTATACTTCTGTACTTTGACTTGAGTGCAGAACCTTTACTTGTTTTGCTACTATAACCTGTGTAACATATAAAACATATGACTTCACTGCTGAAAAACACTATGATGAGTAAAATTTCTGCTTTCAAAATTGTGCTTAAGTAAAGTTCAAAGGTTCAGCAAAGTAAAAAGTACCCTTAATGCAGAAGAATGTCCCTGTCAGTATTTATTAGTTTACAGTATACTAAAGTATATGATATATTTACAGCATGTTTAAGCAGCATTTTAATGCAATATCACAGTGGTGCGTACTTTAACCTCTTTATGTACTGTTTGCTGGTTTAATTTACAACAATGCATCATATTTAATGAACTCATCATTGGTTTTGCATATAAAATATTATCCTGAAAAGTAACTGTAATTGCCAAGTAATTGAAGTTGAGTTAAAAGTTCAACATTTCCCTCTTTAATGTAGTTAAGTTGAATTATAAGGTAGAAGTACTAAAGCAAAGGAAAAGCAGCTGAAAACTGTTCTTGAGTAAATGTACTTTCTTATATTTAAACACTGCTTTCTAGCCACATTATACGTGTTGAAGTCTCTTGTCAAAAGTTTGTTTCCATAAGAATAATGCAAATTGTTTTGGAATGTAAGTCAGTCAGTTTTTGCTGATTACACTTTTAGACAGTTACTTTTGGATGTTAATATTAAAGCCTTGTAAGACCAGATATTTCATCTTTCAATAATTTAATCTAACCAACATTATAACAACAAGATTTTATACTTTTCTCAAGCACAACATGCATGAAATCTAAATTCTCGACTGGGGGTTTCACAAGCACTGTACAGTACAATTGAAACCAACCAGGTGGCTGAATGTACACTCATGCTTTAACTAATCATTTGTCTGTGCTCCCAAGAAAGCAAAAGTGAATGTTGTATATTTCACAACAACTTTCTACACAGAGTCATCTTACACAGCTTTCCTGTTTGTCGTCTTTCAACCTACTAATGATCTCTATCACTTTTCCTTTCTGGTGGCCCTGTAGTTCACAGAAGTGACTACACGTATAGAGGAGGGTATCACTACCACTACCAGCCACCAAGGATCCCTCCACCGGTAGTGTATCGACCTATTCCTCTATCTCCACCAGTGACTTACCACAGACCCTCCGTCCCCATGCCACCCTATCACCACAGGTTCACAGGGCCACAAACGCACCACATATACAAAGGTCTATCTCCACCTGTAGCTTACCATCAACATCAAAGGGTCAAAGGCCCGTTTCATTACAAAGTAAAAGGTCCGTGCCCAATAAAGTCAGACCCCACAGTACCAACAGCACCTGTGGTACACCTTCCTACCATCATCTCAACTCTACCAGAGCCGACACTGCCGCCAACTCTCCCAGCAACTACAGCGGCACCGCTGACAACCATCATCCCAGTGGTGGTGACCACAGAGCCGCCAGTGGAGACCGCCGCTCCTGTGACGCTACCGGTCAGTACCCAAAGCGGCCCCATCACCACCGTCAGTCCTGTGGAGACAGGTAGAATATTACCAGTCAGGTTTTGCTTCCCAACATAAACCAATGCTCCTAAATGCTTTCCAGGTCAGATCTCTTTGAGCTTCTGTCCTACCAACCAGCATGTAACTATGTGATACTTAATATGCTAGATACTTCCTGGTTAATTAAAGGTTAAATAACAAAAAAAGAAAAAGAAGACAGGCATGAGAGTGGATAAATATGTTGATAAGGGTATTTCCCAAAATGTTGAATTGCTTTAAAGCAGAAAGCCCAATAATCAGACTGAATGTCTGTTTTGATCACTTCATTATTCATCCTTTAATTTCTGCAGCTACAAAAGAAGGCCACTTTGAAACAGGTATTTGAAGCATCAACTAAAACTGATTTCATAGAAGCAGAGTTAGAATTTTAGTCGTATTTAATTTGAAAAAGCAGAGGGAATCTGATGTTTAGCTACAGATATGTAGTTTAGTGTAGCCTACTGTATGTGTAAGTGATTGGTCAGGTAGGGCTCCTAACACTCCATCTCCATCTTTAGGTGTGATGTCACTTTTTATGTGTGGGCATCAAGCATCCTTTTCATTCAGGGAAATGAGATGAAAGGATAAGATCAACGAGAAGTCCCTAATGGACTGTTGAAACCCTGAAATGATGCACAGTATGTCTTAAGGCATACTACATCGTTTCACCAGGACCCTTTATCTCACCTCTGTGGTGATGCACAAAAATGGGTAGGAATGGGTATTGTGCATCCCAAAGTTGTCTGTTTTTGATTATTAACTGTATCTCTCTCACAGTGAAAGTTCAACCAAAAAGCTTACATGTTTCTGTCTGAATGATGAACTGGGTTTTGAGTGTTAAATGGACTTAATCCTGCCGTGGTTTGGTTAATCACCAGAGACAGACTCTCAGTGCAGGAGCCGTCCCCTGGACCTGGTCTTCATCATCGACAGCTCTCGCAGCGTGCGTCCTGGTGAGTTTGAGAAGGTCAAGATCTTCCTGGCCGACATGGTCGACACTTTGGTCGTGGGCTCAGAGGCCACCAGAGTGGCTGTGGTCAACTACGCCAGCACGGTCAAGATCGAGTTCTTGCTCAAAGACCACTTCAACAAGCCAGACATGAAGAAAGCCATCTCCCGCATCGAGCCCTTGGCGGCTGGCACCATGACCGGCCTCGCCATCAAAACTGCCGTGAACGAAGCTTTCACTGAGCAGTCTGGAGCCCGACCTCGCTCAAGGAACATCTCCAAGGTGGCCATCATTGTGACGGACGGGAGACCTCAAGACCAGGTGGAGGAAGTGTCTGCAACAGCCCGGGCCTCAGGCATCGAGATCTACGCTGTTGGGGTGGACCGTGCAGACATGCGCTCCCTGCAGCTGATGGCCAGCATCCCTCTGGAGGACCACGTCTTCTATGTGGAGACGTACGGCGTTATTGAGAAGCTCACCTCCAAGTTCAGGGAGACCCTGTGCGGTAGGACAAAGAGGAGCAAGACGTTTTCCCACCATTAACCCTAGTTCTAGTTCCTTTGTAAGGGGCACCTACAGTCTTCAGGGGGTTTTGTTTCAGTTTGCGGATCATTTACTTTGCTATTGTTGAATTATAAACTTTGAAATCAGCAGATGCTCTCAACCCCCACATGGACTGCAGATGTCGGCACTAGAACCTGCCTGTAGCTGCTAAGTTAAACCCATGCAAAGTCTTGGGGCCATATAGCCCTACACTTTCAGCTTCTTTTTTAAAAAAAGCAAAAATTGTACATGGTGATCATTAGTAATTTGTTTCGCAATCAATGCATTATTGTAGATTGCTTCCACCTTACTCCTTTTTATGTGAAATGATTTAGATGTGCAGTAGAACCTCACTTTTCCAAACAACTCAGCAGTAGAAATCCAGATTAATGCAACAAAATAACTGAAATACATTGTAATATGGACATGGATCAAATGTTAGTAATTGTAAACAATTTGCTAATACAACTGTTTTTTGTCAATAATTTTCATTTACTGATATTATAGTATATATATATAAGATTTGAACAAGTGAGATTCTGCTGTGAACTTGAAATTTTTCCATGTCACTGTCTGATGTTTGTCTTGTCCCCCTCGTTTATGAAATCATGTGTCTGTGTAACTGTCACAACTGTTGCACTTCAGGGTCCTGTGATTTTACCTGTGTTGTCCAACACACAGTGAAACTAAGCTCTTCAAATGACCTTGGCTTAGATGAGGTGAAGGTGTTTTCCACCACAAGTGACATGTGGTCAAGTACAAACACTTTAGAGAAGCTTGCAAATATGAATTTTGGAAGAAAAACACACACACACACACACACACACACACACACACACACACACACAAATGTCTATTTTAATCATTTTTGTCAGCATATGTCCTCCATTAAAAAAAGATGTAGGCTACATTTTAACCATCAACTGGTTTGGTGGATTTTTGCACTCTGCAGAGTAACCTACCTATATAATGTAGCTACTGTACACTAGCACATGAAACCGTTCCCATGCTCCCGCCTTGACAGCTCCATCCCCTAATCCCGGTTTATTCTAGGTCTGGACCCCTGTGCCATTGGACATGACTGCGAACACATATGTGTCAACAGCAACGCCTCCTATTACTGCAAGTGCCGGAATGGTTATATCTTGAACGCGGACAAGAAAACATGTTCCCTGAAACGTAAGAGCACACCGTATGGATTTCTGCAGTAAATATGAAAGTCCTTGCTGTGATACTAATGCAGTCTAAGACTGTGAGAGAGTGTGTAAAGAGTATTGTGCAGTATGTGTTTGCTTCTAAGCAATATCACAACCAGCTGAGCATTATCCCTGATTCTATTATTCAGTGCTGAATGTGACATTTGTTGGACAATTATCAGGTAATATTATAGAATTGTTTCACTACAACTGTATTTTTGTTGTGGCACAATGACAATGGTAAATTAATAATGTAGATTATTTTTGGAAAGTGTGTCTATTTAAATGTGTGTGTGTGTGTTCATTTCATCTTTGGTTCTTGTTCTTGCCCAGCAGCCTGGTTGGAAAAAGTAGAGTGGGTGGTGTTGTGTGTGCTTTTTCACTCCCCGCATGATCTGTTACACTGATGTGAAATTCGCTTTCTCCTGGCAAAGAGGTGAAGGTGGAGGTGGTGGAGGATCCCTGTAAATGTGAAGCCAGACTGGCTTTCCAGAAGCAGACGCAGGCGGCCATCCAGCAGCTCACAGCCAAGCATATCCTTTCTGTTGGTTCAGATGGAAGACACTTTATTATAAACAGTCCCCGCAGCACATTTCACTGAGCTGGCAGCAGCTGGTTATTTCTACACTGCTGGGATTGTTATTGGAATATGAATTAACACTGTGTCTTGTCTATTTTTAACAGGGCAATATGACCAGCATTTCTCATTCTGTTTTCGTCCTTTAGCTGTCCCTGTAAATGTGTTTGCAAATGAGTTTCCTTGACTGACCTCACTAGCCGATGTGTCTGGGAGAATAGAGCGTCTGGAGAACATGGTGGGCCGTGCTTAAAGCTGGACACAGTGGTAAGTGTTGGAAGCTTTTTCTTCTGGGATGATTGGTGATAAAAAAATAAAAAAAAAGAATTAAAAAAAAACTCCCACCCACCTCACAGTTTGACCTCGTGTTTATTTACTCTCTGCAGAGGCAGCTAACCGGTTTGTTTCCTGTCAGCAGCAGAGCCATGGACTTACTGCAACATAGACATCTGCTTCCTGTCATCTGCCTCCACCCATAACTACTGCACGTACTTCAACCACAGGCCAAGTGAAGCTGTGATTCATACACCAGTATCCCTCAAATTACTGACTGCTGCAACAATATCCACAGTTGATCTGGGATTTTTTTATGAACAGTGAATGCAATGTTTTGAAACTGCTGTAAAAGCTACTTATAATATTTTTTCTTAACACTAATATGATCATGGTGTGATGTTAAATAACCAAAGAAAATGAGTACTATTTTCATTGTTATCCTGTACTGTATTACGTATGTCTTGTGTCCAGTTTGTACAAAGATGCATATTGTATATAGTAGTTATTTGTGAAAATGTCTCATTGGATTTATGAAGTGATTTGATTTTAATAGAACAGCAAAAGGTTTCTTACATGAAGTGTTTTTTGCATATTTTCTTCATTATATACTCTCTGTTACGAAGGTTATATATATATGTGTTTGTCATCATCTATCATATGAGATGACATGTAATGTTTGCTAAGATTTATAAATATAATAAAAGAGACAAATTGGACAATAAAGTAATCATACAGGAGTTGCACTTTTTCCCCCTTATAACCTGGAGAGTGACACTGACAATATTATAAGTCAAATCACACTTTCAGAATCTTGTGAGGTTGACAAGTGAGACAATGAGATAAAATGAAAACACTCATCCTGGATTACATGCATACATCATGTCCTGTGAATCCATGGTGCCTCGGCAGACTGTGACAGACAGTGAAATATACTATATAGAAAGGTAAGGACAAACAGTAAATACAATATATGGGTATTACTTAAAAATACAGATAAATAGTATCAAAATCATGGTTTAAATTCATGAAAACATTAAGGATTATAATTTTAAACTTTACCTGTCAGGATTACGGTCCTATATGCTCCTATTTATTTAAATAGTTTAATACGTTAACTATTAACAAGTAATATAAACATTATTTAACTCCTGATCAACTCACTTTGAACCCCTTATATTGAGTTATGATAAGTTTGGATCATTCAAGTTGGACTTATTATGATAAATGTGACACTGTACCTTTATACAACCTTATAAATCATCTATCTATAGATCATTTGTGAGAACTGACATGTCACTGAAATCTGCTTCTGTAGATACAAAAGAAGCATTATATCACTTGCTTTTATAGTACTGTAGATTTCTGTGACATGTATGTATTTCTGTGTCAATATAGAAAGATAAATATAATGGTAAAGCTCTGACATGTCTGTTGACAATGTGCTATAATTCACTCGAACCTCTCACAAACAGTCAAACAGATTTGATATCTGTGGTGGGGGGGCGGGGGTGTTACTGCCTAATCCCTTAACTCTTTTTATTCAGAAACACAGTGCCACTGAAAACAAAAATTCAACAAATAAAGCTGGATTAAAGTCTAAAATGTACCCATGACAGAGCTGAGCTGTTAATTTGACTGACCTGATTTGATAAGTTAATTACTAAACTACACCACAGTCTCTTTTTTGTGCCCTGTTATCACCATCACGTCTGTTTTACACCGTCAGTGTTGCCCAAAAAACAACAGACAGGGGTCATCGTGCTTCCTCTGGAATGAGTTGGCTTGTTTGCCTGAAACAGTACTGACAACAGAGCTCCTCTGTCTGCGAAGTCTGTGTGGAGGTGGAGAGTCAACATGCCAACGTTTACTTCTACGTCTGGTTTGGACCCTCTCCCTCCTTCCTTTAACCAGACAGCTGTTTTATGTTTGTTTGCTATTTCACTGGCTTTCATGGCTACCACACACACAGGCGGTCAGAGAGGTGAGCCCACCAGTGTTTCAGTGGAAGAAGATGAATGGGACTCACACGCCTTTGAGAAGTGGAAAAGACACGTAAAGTTTGGTGCAATGTGTCCCTGTTGAAGAGGTTTAAGTTAGAGAAGTTGAGGATAAACTTTAATCTTCAGCGATATCTCAAAAAATGTTTTAAAGTGCCTTGATTTGTAATTGTGTGTTTGTAAGGGTCATACGGGGCATAATGTAATGTTTTTCCTGTGTCCGTCTAATGAACATTTTGATAGTGTTAACAAATGTCTATAATAAGATGAGAAACAGACTGAGGAGGTTTAAAAGTAAAAGAAATAATAATAAAAAATAATAGATATGCATATTTCCCAAAATGTCAAACTATTTCTTTAATGTGCTGCCACGACCTGTTTCACCCTTTAAATCAGATGTTACACAGATGAACATTCAAACTGTGAAGCCTTGTTTTATTCCAATGTCTCACTGCAGTGACTGTAGTGTTCGAGAACTAGGCCACTGAATCTAATGACTGAATATTCAGGATATTCTGACATTAACTGAACTGAACAACTGAAAGCTGCAGAGAAAGCTAGTAAGTAGACCTTAAGTCAAAGTTATTGGGTTTTTTTTTCATATAAGTAAAATCAATTCAACAACACTTTTTAAAAGTTTTCTGTCTTATCAAAACAACCACAAATTTTGCTCAAACTCCCTCATAGAAGGACACAAATGAATTGAAGCATTGAGGCATGTTGACAGTAGTGAAAGGTGAAGTGTAGGGATAAGTGCAGTGCTGTGGGTCTGTCAGTGAGGAGGGGGAGATGAAGGCGTGTGTGATGGATGTCTGTCCTGGTTCTGCCAGACTGAAGTGAACTTTGATACTTTGTGCAAATTCTCTCAGCAAACAGCAACATTTAGAGCGCTATAAGAAACACCAGCTTCGAGGCCGGTGAACATAACAATCTTTGCTTCATGTGTACATGCTATCCTTGCCAAAATAAACATTTTTAAGCTTGAAGGAGTTTTACATTCCTCATTTTGTCACGTTTGAATGCAAGCATTTAACTGCATTTGAATTCTGTAATGTTGACTCCTTTTAGAGATGCAGAAAACAATTGATAAAGGTTATTTTGATTTAATGGAAGGTAGTTAATGTTAATCTATATTTCCACAGGTTGTATGTTATTGCCATTTTCTCAGTAGTGTCAACAGCCAGTGGCCTCCAACCTCTTCCTCTGGGTCAAATTGGTCTCCATTTGATCTGTGTCAACTTCTCCACACAGTCTGGAGATAAATGGGCCGCAAAAAAGGAAGTGCACGGCTCCTGACTGACCTCTGCTTCCTCAAGGTGTCACTTTTCACCAGGACAGTTGACTTCCTCACCTGGGAGATCGTCTGAGAATTTCTCACCAGTTTGCTTATGGGTTGGCCTCCTTGTTGTGTATTTACTGTAGCGAATGCCCATACTGTCCTGTGACTGGTGTGACAGATGTTTCAGTCTGTTACAGTTCAATGTTTTTCTTTCAGATTGAATACCTCTCCATCTTAACATTATCAAGATAATATTCCAGACAGTAATCTGCCACTGACTGGATATTATGTTAACATTTCGGGCTAACTGGATGTTGTTTATGAGTTTATTTTCATTGCTCCTTTACCATCTCAACTAATAAACTTCACATAAACTTCATTGTATTTTCACATACATTCAATGCCTTGTTTTAATGAGGTCTTAGTCAAGTCTGCCATCTGCTGTTAAACAAAAAAGATTTTAAACATCAGAAATCAAATGTACAGGTACACTTACTTCATCATGTTATTCTGGACCATTTAACAGGGGGATTGATCTTGGCAGACTGGAGGCTAATTTCCCCATAACAGTTTATGTACCTTTTAATCTGATATGAACATTTATCATCACAATTATCATCACAATTAATAGTAAAAAAGATTTTGCGTGCACATGGTGAAATAAACATAAATATATAAATAGTAGGCGATATATTTTATCCATACATTGTAAAATGAAATATACACAATAAATTTAAATACAATAAAAGTAGAAAAATACACATGGATATTTAATAAAAGTGCAGGGTAGTGGTTATTCTATTAAATTACAAGCAATAAAAAAAAATGTAGCGACAGGTGCATCTATGCACCGTGAAAGAAAAGTGGATCAATATTATACCATATTTTACTAAAAAATATAAGCATAGAAGAGATTATGAATGGATTTTAATAATTTATAACTTGGAAAAATTGTATGATATGAATGAAAGGTTGCAGGAAGTAGATGTGATAAAAAGTAGAAGTAGAAATAACTGGTTACCAACAGTGAGTGTGAGGTACAGTATATGATAATAGTGCATGTTAGTAATTAAGTAAAATGAAATTTAATTATTTAAGTAATACGAGGTGTGCAGTTGGAAAAAATATTATGCCTCTTTACAATGAATATTTTTTTACCTAATAAAGATAAATATCTGAAGGTCACAGAGGACCCCCCTGTCTAGTGCCAGTGGAAAGTGAGACCTGCCTGGCCCCGCCTACTCGTGACGTACTAAAACGTGATTGGACGTACTTTTGCATGACGTCACATCCGTGGTTGAGAAATACGATAAACAAATGTATGTATGGACAAATTACAATCCTTTACAGAAGCCTGCCAATGGAGGAAGACAATTCACAAATATTTGAACATGCCAACTCTGAGTTTAAAAAGAAGAATTTCAAACAGGCAGATGAGCTGTACACAGAGTTTATCTCCTCCTGCCTAAAGTCCAGGTACTTGTCTGTCGTAGCGAAGTAAAATTAGCTAACAGTCAGATACTGTAGTGGCACCGGTGTTAACATTTAGCTAACGTTGATTCTGTTTCTCTATCTTCATTGTAATAAAACTTAGCTGCGGCTGTGTCATATTTTCACAGGGTATGTGAAGCTGGTGATTTGGCGACTGCTTATAACAACCGTGGACAGATAAAGTACCTCCGGGTGGATTTTCATGAAGCAGTAGAAGATTACACCTCCGCAATACAGGCTAACAGTCAGTTTGAAATACCTTTCTACAACAGAGGACTCATCCACTATAGACTAGGTAAGAGTAGGAACTCTCTGATAAGAGTAAACAGTAATATTAACGCTAATTGTCTATTATCAGCAAGTCAGACCGAATAAAATAAACGACTTCCGCCCAGGGCTTTCAGAATAAATGTCTAATTTATAATGTGTCCAACATTTTTTCTGCCTTTTTGTTTCTAATTAAAACAAGTCCAAATTGAGAATTACATTTATTCAAAGAAAAAAAATCATAGTAAATTAGATTACATTTGTTTGGACCAAAGACAAGATAATCTGTAGCTACAGACAGGTGACAAATTAAAGGAAAAAATGAGGGCTGCTGAATACTTTGACCAGTCTGGTGACTGAAAATTATGTGAATTATATGTCAGTGGAGTTGGAGACACTGGTAGAATCTCTGCCAAGGTGCACTGAAGTTGTTCTGTCAGTTTGTGTTGTTTGTCGTCACCCCACCTTAGACCTTACAGAACTATTTTAGTATGTCACCCATCTTTAAGTCTGGTCAGTAAGTTCAGTTTAGTCAGTCCAAAGAAACATTCTTGAAAAGAAGAAATGGTAAAAACACTTGGCAGACAGATGTGCAAGTTCCACAAAAATGTGTAGTTAGTAATAGGATTGCAGTGGAGTAAAAAAGAAGCAGCTTGTCCTGAGTATGTGAAAGAAGAACAGTGAAATCTGTAGAACTTTTCTCAGACATATCAGACAAACAAACACTTAAGTGGTTTGACTTGACACTGAGATTAATGGTGAAATAAGCATGGCACTGGTTTGTTTATGAAATAAAATAAAAAACAAAGTAATAAAATAAAAACAGTGTTACAAAAACAGTGTCAGGATTAAAAGACGTAAGATTCGTATTGACCCTTTTTGCACAATACTTCTGCATCTTCATCAAAATGTGTCTTGTTGTCAGTAATTGTTTCTTAGCACTTGTTGCTGCTTGCATACTCAATCAGTTGCCTTTAAAAGTATGTCAAGCATGAAATTCAGTTTTAACACCAATAACCCTGTTCTTTAATTATTGTTAACCACATACATGATCATCACAACATTATCTGGGATGATGCTGTAGGGCAGTGTGGAGTCACTTAGGTATGTTCTTCCAGAGGACACTAGATGGAGCTATAATCCAGATGCTTGCAAGCCCTTCTGCTCATGCTGCCTAGAAAATGAAACTGCTGACTCTTAACAAGCCAATCTGGTAGTGCATTACACATAATAAACTTATACATATTATGTATTTGTATTTATTACTATCTTACAGGTTTTTTTGACGATGCAAAGGCTGACTTCCAGCAAGCATTAAAGCTCAACCCAGAGTTTGAGGATGCCAAAGTGAGTCTGCAACAGACACTTCTGGACCAGAAACAGAAGATAAACAGGGGATACTGACAACGTCATAAACTACAGAGTGCATGTTTCATATATCCTGCAGTATGGTGGGTAAACAAAAGCTAGACCTATGCTGTCAACCATTGTCAGTTTATTTTATGTTTGTTTTATTTCTTTTGTTGTATAACGAATTAAGATGTTTTTTAAACTGAAGATGAACAGATTTATTAGGTATCACACAAACCTTATAAAGCATTCTGCACAAACAAATGTACAGCTGCAAATCAGATGAAATCATTTGCTGTTTGTACGCATAAAAGGAAAGAGACATCCCACTAGACCAGGCGCGACACATATATGGATTTTTGTTAAGCAGAGCATTGATAATTCCTTTCCTGCACCGACTCAAGACTTTTAGCTGGAAAAAATGTAATGGCCTCATAAATGTAAGTATATCACTGTATAAGTCTGTGAGTGGACAGTGCAGACTGATCGACCCAAGCGCACCAGGTAAAACGATGAATCTGGGGTTTACTGTTAGTCATGAAAGTTAGTGCACCATCTTGGAGACACTGGAAGGTTTGTTTATGTGGCCATAAACAAACCATAATCAAGTGTTAACATAGAGTAATAATGAAGAGTCTCTCAGCTGAAAAGGAAAAACATGTTGAGTGTCTTTCAACAAGTTGATTTAGGTTTTAAGGAATGGTATAATCCATTGTACTTCCTATTTCCTTTGACAATGGATTTCTTGAATAATAAAAAAACATTTCTAGACATGTAACATGTAAATATGTTTCTAATAAGTGAACAATAAATTATCTTTACTACACATTACTGATTCATGTTTGTTTATTTGCACATATGCAGATTTATGGTATATCAAGCTTATCCACTGTGTGTGAGGCAGGTGTAGGACGACTGATGTGCCTCACCTGTGCATGGTGATCAGGTGTTATATAAAACAGCTGGTGATGGCTCAGTAATGCAGTCAGCCACTTGAGAGTTGGTTTGTAGGTGGGGCTTGCTGGGGTTTCAGTGCCAAGCTCTGATAGTGGTTGGACTCCTTTATGCTTTTTGTTTGGCTGTGAACAGACTCTAACATGAGGGGACTCAAAAACATGTAAGTTTATTGTCTTGTTTCTTTTTTTCTTTTCTTGTTTAGTGACTTCTTGCAGCCTTTCTCCAAGTGTATCTAATTGCTGTACTATTGTTTAAGTTTACTATGGAACTTGATGGCTGCAGTAATCCTCTTGGGTCAAGCAAGGCCAAATGTGAAGCTCAATTCGCAGTCAAGTAAGATTCGTTCATATTAAACTACTTTATATCACCTGAAGTCAGTTTATACGCTCTGCCTGACCAGCTTTTTTTGTTTAAACAGGCAGTGGTCTAAGGTCAGACTGTGCAGGTAATCTAATGAGGCTGTCGTTGGACAAGGCTCTAGCAGTGGGGAACCAGCTTGAGGTGGAAGCCATCAGTGAGTATAAACTCTGCTAATTATGAGCAGATTGGTTCATCACTGGGAGAAGTGATCCCTGTCATGTTTGTCTCTCTTTTCCCCAGATGGCACCCAGCACATCGTGTTAACACCCAGCCTGGCTGCTCAGTGTGGGTACAGCATGGAGTCTGACCCATGGGGCAACACCAGAATCTACACGTCTCTAATGGGCTGCTATGTGGACAACAAAGTATGATAAGCTGACATGAGATCCCCCCCCCTAGAGAATTTATTTCTCAAGTGACTGATTATAAATGATTAAATTCTCTTGGCATGATTATGTAGGCAGTAGTTCCCAATTTTGTGCTTCCCAAATACTGGAACCAAAGCTGATCATGTCATGTGTCTCGTACCAAGTAAATTTTCGCTTTTTACTGTGACATGGACAAATGTAAAAATGTTAAGCCTGCTATTGAATCTTTTTATTTTCATAATTCAATCAGCCAAATATTTTCTCAAATCAATGCATTGCTTAGTCTGTAAATGTCAGAAAATGTTGAAAGTGAGGTTTTCAAATGTTTGTTCTAAACCTGAAGATAATTTGATACAACAGACAAACCAGCAAATCTTCACCTTGGAGAAGCTGGAGCCAAAGAATTGATTGAGGATTTTCCTTGACAATTACTTGACTGATTAAACGCTAATGGAAACTTCTGTATTTGTTAACTTATAGGACGACACGACATTTAATGTTGGGTTGAGACTCCAGATGTACGGCCAGAGTCCATCAGATGTGGCCAGTCATGATGTGACTCAGACATGCAGCTACTCTCGGTGGGCCTCCAGAGAGGTTCTCTGCGACAGGAACTACATGGAAGTAGGTCGCTTTACATTGACGGCTGTTCAGTTACTGAAACTGTATATAAATCGGGTATTTCCTGTTTTAGGTGTCAAAACACATGGCTACACCTGATGCTGGAGCTAAGGGGCAGGCTCAGGATGTTAAAGATGACTTGCAGATCAACACCATTCCTGGTGTACGTATGCTCTTTTTAAAAAAAAAAAAAAAAAAAAAAAAAAAAAAATTCAGTTGCAGTTCACTTGTGTTAATTTTTAACCTGCACCATATGGCATCCCTTCCCAATAGCAGAGATGCAGATGTAAGTTGATGAGAAGAATAAGGTGTGTTTGTGGGGTGTTTTTTCCCTTAGGCGTCAGGTGCAGCACATGGTGTCTGGAAGATGACATTTTTCACTCCAGAACCAGTGGCGATGGTGCTGATGGAGGCTGAACAAGCTGGCTATACTGCCATGACTACCTCAACCCGTCTGGTTATGCGAAGCCCATACAATACAGCAGAGACTTATTCTGAGGATGTAAGCAACACACCCCACTTCTCCTGTTTGCTTTAATTTTTTTTTTTTTTTTCATGTTTAACTTTTTTTTTTTTTTTTTTTTTTTTTTTTTTTTTTTTTTAAATCACTGTTAGGTGGCTGGAGTCCCCATGGCAGTTTTCAGGGCGAGTGTTTACTACAAGGCACCACACGGTTTGAGTGTTGAGAACTTGGCAGCTGCCTGTCCCACAGGTGAGTGTCAAGCAAATCTGTGCACCAAGATTATTTTTGAAGTCAATGTGCAGTTTTGTTAAATTTTATTTATTTTTTTTTTTTAAACTCAAACAGGTGGCACACTCTTCACTGAGGATGTGATCTCTTGGCACATACCTCGCCGTGTGACACCCCTGATAGATGGCAGCTTTAAAATCTTGGAAATGCACATGGGCATCAATGGGCAGAGGCTGGATAAATCTCAGATGGCTGCACGAGGGTACACGCTATCTGCAACAGATTTTCACATCGTTATTGAGATCCCAGTGGGCTCGCCTGATGGTTACTACAAGGTTGGGAAGTGTATAGATTTACCATGCTCAGGTCACTAGTCCATTTGCATGTTTTATTAAAATGCCATGAATAATTGCAGAGCCATGCCCCAGATTACCAGTACCACATCACCTACAGTGTGGAGCCCATGCTTGATGTGCTGTGGAGGGGAGATGACACCCAAGATGATACCAGATACAAGGTTTTGTTCCCTATTACTACCCCTCTGATGCCCAGACCTCCCCAGGCTGAAAACAGTAAGTCCCCTCTTTGGTTGAGATGATGTAACTTAAGCTTTTTGGGGGGAAAAGTGTAAATCTGCCACTTTCTGTTCCTCAGATACTGTCCTAGAGGACAGGCTGTTCAGTGTTCACTTGGGGACCTTTCTCCATGATGTGGTGCTCAGGAACATCACCTTTTCTACTGGTGTCCTCACTGTTGAGGAATGCAATTCCAGAGGTTTTGCTGTCCAGGAGCACAGCCTCCCCCATGGAAGAAAGAGCTTCTCTTTGCAAGTGCCCTTTGATGCTGATGTTGTCCTGAAACATGTATGTGAAATTACAACTTTATATATATGCTAGCAAAGTGTCCCTCATACCATTGATTGTTCTATGGCCATGACCTGAGCTTTTCTGACTCTGCAGAATCCTGAACCCTTGGTTACAGTCTACTCCCTCCCTTTGATCTTTGCGTTCCTCATTCTGCCTGAAGAAACTCCTTTTGCCCATCCAGTAGATTTAGAGGCATCTCTGCAGGATGTTGGTGAGACCATCTTGATCATAATGACTTTTGTTTTTTGTTTTCTCTCCCCTCCCCAAGAATATAATGTGATAATGGTTGATGCCTTTTCTCTTTAGTGCTACCCACCATCACTGGCACCTGTGACAAGAACGTTTTTTACGTCCATGTGAAATACGGGAGTCAAGGCTCCAGTTTCCAGACCATGGTTGGGCCTATGCAGCTAAACCCTGAGCTGGGTGAGGCCTACAACTTGAAAGACAACGGCACACACCTCAGTCTTGTGGTGCCATACCAGGCCAAGGCCACTGGGTTTGAGGTAGGTCAAGTACAGGAAACTGCAAACTGGCTTAAATCCATCTGCACTGGATAACTTCACTTTCTGTCTTGCAGATAATTAACTCCGATTCAGTCAGAGCCCGACTTGACATTCTACTATGGGATCCAATCAACAACTGGGTGCTTGGAGATTTCTATTTGGCCTGCAATTTTCCCTTGATGACGACTAGTAAGATTTTACATTTACTGATTTGGCAGATGCTTTTATCTAAAACTACTTACAAGTGAGATACAACACTAAATCTTCAGTGTAGTTTCTTTAATAAAAAAAAACAAAACAATTTATCTTTTCTTTGCTATAAAACATCTTAACAATTTGTTCTTATCCTTAGACTGCTACCCAAATGGAACAATGACTGCTCTGGCTGTGAAGGTGGAATCAGTCCCCAATCTTGAACCAAGTTTACTGACTCTGAAGGACAAGTCCTGCAAACCAGTTTTCAGCAATGATCGATTTGCTTACTTCTCCTTCAGTGCTGATTCCTGTGGGACCACTAGAACGGTAAGTTACTGTCACCTTTTTAATTTAAGTGCCTTTGGCAAATAGTTTAATGCTGCCTTGTCTTTTCAGTTCTTTGACCAATACATGCTGTATGAAAATGAGATTGGCCTGTATTACAACAGCAACAAAGGAGTAGCCTACACATCACCAATTGATCCTGAATACAGGTAGGAAGAGTGATCCAATCTTTTATTCTGAGCTTAATTTGACTTTAATATTATATTTGTTCTCTCCTGTAGGCAAACAGTTTCCTGCTACTATGTTGTCAATGAGACTCAGACTGTTGCGTTCAGCTATAAACCGAGAAGCAATAACCCTGCAGCAGAGATTGGGTCAGGACAACTGATGGTGCAAATGAGGCTAGCCCAAGGTAAGGACCGAATTTAACTCAGTGGACAACCGTTTTCTTGTTGGCACAAAGTTTTAGTGTAGTGACTATTTTGTAAGATGTGCCTCTTTCTCAAATGGGACTCCTCTCCTCCAGATTCTTCATATGAACACTTCTATGAAGCAGAACATTATCCAGTAGTGAAGTACCTGAGGGAGCCTCTGTATTTTGAGGTGGCGCTGATGCAATCCACTGACCCCCATTTGGAGCTCATCTTGGCGAACTGTTGGGCGACTCTCCATGAAGACAGGACGTCGCTGCCCAGCTGGGACATCATTGTGGACAGGTAATACACAGTACAAGCTCACACAAAAGTAAACTTCCACATCACCAAGAAACTAATGTAGGTAAAGATACAACATTAAGAATTGGTTGCTATTCTTGTCAAAATGGTTCAACTTGAAACCAGCAAGATGAGGTCATGAGGCAGCTCTTCCAGAAATTTAACTCCAAATTTCATGGTTTTTAAGGTGCTATAAATGCATCATGAGTTTCATTGTTCTTTCCACCAGCTGTGAGAACCATGACGACAGTTATGTGACCATTTTCCATCCTGTTGTGAGCGATGCCAGAGTTGCTGTCCCATCCCACTTCAAACGTTTCTCTATGAAGATGTTTACCTTCACTAAAGATGACGAGGTTCTGAAAGATGAGGTAAAGTACTCCAAATGTACGGGCCACAGCACATGGAACAGATGCATGTAGCCCTCCATGCTAAATCCTTCTGTCTGTCCACAGATCTATGTCCACTGTGATGCAGTGATTTGTGACACAAACAGCCAAGCAGATGGTGCCTGCAGAGGCCAGTGTGCGCATCATACAGGCATGAGTAACTCCAGACAACAAGGGATAAAAGTAAAAAGGGGTAAGTGTTCAAATGTACATGTATGGTGAGAAACATTGGTCAAACTGATTCTAAACATGCAACTTGTGACTCGTCTCATTTCCAGAGCAAAGAAGTACAGACTCAAGCAACCAAAGGCAGATCTCATCTGGACCTATTGTTCTGTTAAACCCTCAAATTTCTAAATAAATGTTTCTTAAAAAATAGTCCGGTTTCCTTTTTCTTAAGATGCTTCTGTGTTAAAGCGCTGAATGTCTTTTTGCTTTCCAAATTGCATTACATCATGTCACCCTACTTACTGTACAGCCAGTCATTGGTGAATTCTGGCAAACCTGAAGTCTGACCTTGAACTACTGTAAGCAGCATTTCTGTTCTTTTAATTTTATTTTAAGAGGTGCTGTTTCAGATTGGCCAGATAAATAGGTTACATTTGTATTCAGATAAATGCACTGGCAGCAGCAAGAAGTTTTCATTAAATGTTCAGATGATTGTCACTATGCTATGGATTCCCTGTAGCGCATGAAGTTTCAGTTCAGAGGTTTTGATTATTGCATCTGGAAATTTCTGCCTCCAAATCAATACAAGAGTAGAAACTTCATTTGTTGTGTTCAGAGACCCTATAATTCCAAAAGCAATATTTGACTTACTGTCATATTAAACCCCTTTTTGAAGTGGAACCAGTTATACCAAACAGTCCATAATGGTAATTAAGGGACTGTGGGGAGTGGTCTAAAAATTAGGGTTTTTATTCCTTTCTGAAAGTATAGTCTAAATTTGTCACTTGAGTGCTTTTTGACCATATAAATGGTAAACAGGACCTTGTTTCTGTATCAGATATATTCCACATTTATAGACATCTAATTCCAAAAATATGTTTGCTTTAAATTAAGATCTAGTTCACCCACCCACCCCAGTAATTATCTCTCACACTCCCTAACTAGACTGTTTGAGTTTTTCAAATTTTACTTTGACCCAATCATACAAAATCTTATAAGCATAATCAACTAGCATGTACCTGTCAAGGGTCTACAAAAGGTTGTGGCAAACCGGGATCAGATTGCAAATGAAATATATCCTTGCATGTAACTGTAAATATTACTATATTTCCAATATTCATGGCTGGAAGAATGTTGCACAACGATTTGAAACCCTTAAAGTGGACCGTACCATTTCCTTGACGTTAAACGTGCCTGCGTGACTCGCCTCTTCAAATCTCCTGCGTCATGCAGACACTCTAGGTAAATGTTAGTGTGCTGGTTTCTAACTTTTGCCTTAAATTAGTTTAACTTATGTTAGCTGATAGTGCACCCGTCTATTACCAATAAGTCATTAATTTTAGCAAACACTGGAAGATTAGTGGTTGTAGAAATATTGACATCAATATAGTTTTACACTAAGTCTTGTGTGGCTCTGGTTTAGTCTTAACTTATAAAGTTACTAAGCATCCCTTTTGTTTTCAGGCGTTTCAGCTGGTTGAGTAATTGAACAATATAAAAATCCATGTATGGTGGAGAGAGTAGTACATTTACTCTAAGAACTGTAGTTACAATTTTTAGGTACCTCTACTTTGAAATGTAGTGGAAATACTCAGAGGAAAATATGTACTTTCCACTCCACTATATTTGACAGCTTTAGTTCAACAAGCAACATCCTCAAGTTCAGTTCACTGAAGCATATGCCTGTTCTGGGTTCCCTTTCTCCCTGGAGCAAAAGTTGACCCCCTCAATTGTCACTGTATGATTTGCACTCTGCCCTATGGAAGTATTTCTGTGCCATCTGAGTTTGAATATGAATTTCTAAGATTGAAATTTTTCAGTATCAAAATCAGACTTTGAATTTTAAAAACCATCAAATTTCTAGCACTGAATTTTTTTCAATGTTGAAATAAAAAAAATAAAAAAATCAACCTCAAAAAATTCAGTCTCAAAAAAATTCAAACTCAAAAAATTCAGTCTCAAAAAAATTCAACCTCAAAAAATTCAGTCTAAAAAGAACCAGACTCAACATCCGGGTCACCAGGGACAAGCAATCGATCCCTGTCTCAATTAAGCCAATCATGTTACGCTCCATTGGTCATGTGACACCCACCCAGGTAGGACAGACCGGTCCAGCCATGGCCACAAACGCAGGTGATGGAGCTTCGGTGAGTGTTTATTTGACATTTGTGTTCGTAAAATTGAGTAATAGATATTACTCGACACGTTGCACATTAACCGGGTTTATTGAACAATATCTTCAGTGAACTTTTAATGAGGTGGCGTTCGTGAAAACTGCGTTAGTAACTAGCTAACGGTAAATAGGCTATTAAACCGTGATAGTGTTGACAGTGTTTCCCACAGGGTTTTAGGAGACGGGGAGGGGGTAATTTTAACACTGTACAATTAGAGACGGCCGGTGGAGGGGCTGACTTAAATCTTATGATTGAAGACGGTGTAAACTTGCTGCAGCCACTGGCTATTTTTGAAATAAAAACTAGTTTAAGTATCACTGGAATGAACCTCTTCCACTCAAAAGATTTCAGTGAGAGCTAATCTCATTAAAACTTGGGATTTTACTGTAGAAAAACTATACTATTGTTATAGCAAACAGAAAATTCAGCCCACAAGCAATCTAACGAGATACCATTATGAAAATCAGTTCTCCAAATTGAACATCACCCCTCCACCTCTGGGGTAATATTTCCAAGAAGACAATGCCAAGTGTGAACTCTTGTAAAATCATATTTTATTAGGATTGTTAGCTTATAAGTATGGGTCCTGATGACAGATGTTTGAAACTGTGTCCATCTGAAATGGCACGTCTTTGACCTGTGGACGAAGAGAAAAATATTTTCAAAAGATGCTCACTTCTCCAAATCAGATAACACTGACAGATTTGACACCTTTGAATAAAAGCACAGCTAGAGATAGATACTCTTTGTACTAGTGCTTGCAAGGCTTAACTGTATGATAGTGCATGACATGTCCTACCTTTTATCTTGTTTTGCTGGTTTGAACACTGCCCATTACAAACTCCACCCAGTGGATTTCTGGCATCACAGATCACCACATCACAGTGGACAAAGAGCTGCAAGGTAAGAGCACATTTAAGACTATTGCGATTGACATTTCCATGTTTATGTCGCTTTTTTGTCTGTAAACCATGAGTATTCTTAGAGTTTAAATTACCTGGCGACTCAAGTTATCCTGATCTTCAGCAAAGGCAAACATCTGGACCTCAAAGCGTTTGAAGTGAGAAGGATACTGAACTCTGGCATCAACCCAAACAGGATGGAACACGACCTGGTACGGGTCTACTGGGTTTGCACAGCTGGAACAGAAAAGAGCAGTTAAATAAAATAAAATAAATAAATAAATAAATAAATAGTGCCCAATTGTCCGTTTCTATTACACTGGATAAACACAATGCTGCTATTAGTTGTACTTTGACCATCATTCTTTCTTCACTTTATCCACCAAATGCAGGTTTCTCACTCTCGCTCACCCTTTGCCACAGACACCACATTATATAGGAAGACACCAATTCCCAGTTTCAAATTACCCATCAATGATGAGGTTCCATCTGGGTTTGGAGGTCCTGTCATTATTCAGTGTCGCCCAGCAGTTCTCAAGCTCCAGCGATACTTTGGGATTTGTGGACCTCATCAGCTCAAACTCAAAATACAGTGGCTGCTGTAAGTACTTCACAAGAGGATACTCCTCAGCTCTGTGAAACACGCTGTAGGAGTTGTCTAAGTGAGGAGAGACAATACATGTTGACGCGAGTTGTTATCGTGGATTAAGACTGAGTGAACACGAGCTATGTGCATTTGTAAAAAAATAAAAATAAAAAAATTAAAAGTTAGAAGGAAATGTTGGGAAACTAGTGTCAATGCATTCACAACTTCCCTTACCTGTAGCGAGTCTCATTGCAACTTGCAGCTCGCCTTTTGCATTTTCAGCATAAGGTTCACTCCTTCGAGGTCTGGTGTGGAAGGCTACAGCGTGGGTCGTGTTGATATCATAGTAACAAGAAATCCTTAACCTGAGTAAAGACACCCATGTGATAGACTTAAAATGACGTCAAGAGTGGCAAAATTTATTTTAAAATCCCCATTCGACATTGACTTTTACACTCATTTGGTCTTGCTTACATCTGTGATCGTACCAGAGAATAATAGTGTCAGTTCACAGCTCCTAGGTGGACATTCATATGCCATTATAGGGATGCAACTACCTATTTTGATTATTAATTGGTCATGTCAAAAACAGTTGCTCATTAATCTTTCAAAAAGAATAGATCAGTTGTTTCAGCTCCATATGTTAAATGTTTAAGACACTCACTCATACTCAGGCTCTTCTGTTTTTGGATCCCTCGTCTTTTGAAGTTCATCTGGCAGGGAGATTTCATTTTCATACAGCATCACATTGGGAAAAAACTAGAAATAAAAAATTAAAAATAAATTTAAAAAAAACAAGTGGAAGGAAAACTTAAATTGAGCAGGTCAGTCTCACAGTTAACAGTCTGCATCAGAAAAACATTCAGCAGCATACCATACCTTTCTGGTCGTCCCACAGGAGTTCCCAGTGAAGACGAAGTAAGCGTAGCGGTCGTTGCTGTAGGACGGACCACAGCTAGTGTCTCTGAGGGTGAGCTGACTGGGGTTCAGACTGGGAACCGACTCTAGTTTCACAGCCAGAGCCGTTATGGTTCCGTTAGGAAAACACTCTGAAAAAGGAGGAGGATCACCAGTTAAGGATGTGTTGTGCGTTTTCTCAGTGAAAAGTGTTATTTTCTCTAAAAACAAACCAGTCAGTGTTGAGGCGAAATTGCAAGCTAAAGAGAATTCTTGGACAATTTTGTTGGTTTCCGGATTGCTCAGAACCACGTCAAGTCTGTTCCTGATGGATGACGACTCAACAGCCTGAACAATTGTCAGAAACCAAAGCACAAGAATTTACAAAAAAAAAAATTTAAAGTTAGACATGATATGGAGCATAATCTCAACAGCAATGTCACAATTATCACTGTTGAACTTACCTCAAACACAACATCAGGGGCTGAAAACGGCACTGCCAAACTCAAGTGCGTGCCGTTCTCCGAGAAGCCGTACTGCTGAGCCAGACCTGGGGTCAACAGTCGTTTACCCACCATCGTCTGAAAGTTGAAGCCCTCGGTCCCATATTTCACGAGGACATAGAAGCTTTGATAATCACAGCCGCCATAGATAGAGGGGGGAACTACAAAAGCAGATTTTACAGAAGAAACTGCATTGAACTGTAGCTTTTGGTTCAGTTCTTGTAAAAAAGAGTCAAAATGGCAGTTACGGCCACTTTGATTATTTAAGTTGCAATTATTAATTTCATTTTAGCCCTTTGTGCATACTACATTGGCAAGACTGACCGATTATCCCTCTTGTTCACCTGTTTGGAAACATCTATCATATCAGAGTACAGACCTGTGTCTATCAATTTAGCTTCCAGATAAGCTGTGTGAGAAAATGGAGCAAACTCTGGCAGGACCAGCAAACCAAAGGTCAGGTGAAGAGAGTACACCGTTACTCCCATTTCTCTCTGTTGGGAAATGGAAAGAAAGATGAGCAAACAAAACAAAAGCTGCCGCCACCACCACACAGTATTTTCAGTTCCCAAGCTGAAGTTAAAGCGTACCATTTGTAGTACGACAGGGTCCGTGAAGGGCACTTCAAGTGTGAAGACCTTTGAGCTGCTGTTAGGGGACATGTGCTCAAGGACTTTAAAGCCTCTGGCACTGCAGTCTGCCACAGACAAAACCTCAGAGGGGAAGGTAATGTTCATTAGTGCCACATCTGAACCAAAAGGCCCAAGCAGCACCTTAAATATCCACTCCTCTGGAACAGTGTCTGTGAGGCAGAAAAAACAAAATGAATGAAGGCAGCTGCAATCTATTTAATAATCACAAAGCACTATAATTACAACACTCACTGTCAATAACTTGTGGAGGTTGAGACAGCAACGGTGTGGTGATGGGAAGGAGGACTTTGTATCTGGTGTCCTCATTAGTGGCGTCTTCAGTCCAGAGCAACTCGAGCATGGGCTCAATCGTGTATGAGGTGACGTACTGATCATCCTGAACATGACTCTGCAAAAACAATGTCATGACATTATGCACATTGAACAAAAATCTGGCCTTTATATAAAATCTGTTTTATATAAATGTATGGAGTCATGGGAACTCTTGCAGGCTGGACAGAGTTATATGCATGACACAAAAACTTAATATAAAGAAAAAGAAAATATATAAGAGTAAGTGTCAGTACTACTGACCTTAAAGTAGCCACCAACGGCCCCAACAGGAATTTGGATGACGATATGAATGTCACTGATGAACAAGGAGTATTGTCTGGCAGCCATCTCAGCAGCGTCCAGTCTCTGGCCGTCTACGCCCATGTGCACCTCCAACAGTTTGAACTGTCGGGAGGAAATCAGCGGGTCGATGTGCCGGGGCAGGTACCAGGTGATTTGGTTTGGAGTGAAGGAAACGCTGCCTGTACAGAGAGAATACATGCACATGAAGTAGAAACTGAAAAACAATAGTGGCAGATTTTAGGACCTACACTGAGGGCCAGTTCAAGTCCACTCTCCTTAAAAAGTATTACTCACTACTTTTCATTTTATTAATTTAATTAATGGAGGGTGATTTCCAGAAATGTTCAACTATCAACTGTTAAGTCAAACACTAATCATCAACACCCACCTTTAACGTGTTTAATTGTTGACTATAAACGTCCTCCAAATGCCCTACAAAAAAAATACTGAGTACATGATCTCAGTGTCCTGAGTGATGTCTATGGCCCCATTTACAGTTCTCCAAATATTTTCTTTACCCTCCAGTATCGGACAGGCAGCCGCTGCATCGATTTGAGTCGCCAGCCACTTCTTTTCAAAGATGGTAGAGGTTTTGAGCACAGTCATAGGCACTCCTGCTACCTGCAGGGTGAGGTTACACAACATTATGTGTAAATGCTTCGTTTAGTCCATTCAACACTTTAATGGTAGGATATGCATGCATAATGCTGTAACAGAAGGACAATCTAGTTGCTAAGGATGTGTGTAATTTAACACAATGCAGAATGCAAATATAAAAAGTAGCCTACCAATGTATTTATCTGTGCCAACTAGATTTGAGACAAAGTAATTAATTTAAAAGGCAGCTTGATCACATTGTGTGATCTAAATCCAAAAGGCTGCAAGTGTAGGCAAGTTATAAGTCATCCCCTCAGGCTGCAAGTAATGTAACCAGAGCCTGCCTGAGGGATGAGATTTAAAATCTGGCCGTTTGAAATTTAACTGCACTGGACTCACATTCTGGGTGTATGTTTCAGGCGAAGTCTTCGGGCTTCGCAGGACCAGCCTTGAAGGAGTGTTTGCTATCCCATAACCACTTCTCTGGGCCTCAGTCACCATCATAGTCTTTTCCTCAGGAGTGAAGAACACGAGTGTTGTGATTCTGAATCCAGCATCTATTGGCGTTTTCTGTGAGGCAAATGTGAAGAAATGTCACGTTTCCAGATTTAGAAATAAATAAATAAATAAAAGATAAAAAAAATCTGCTCATCTAACCTCTGCAGCTCGTCGAGGATCACCAAACTTTGAATTAGCTGCTGGGACAGGATGTCCAGGCAGGGCATAATCGTCTGGAGCTGCCCTCTTCACAGACACCTAGAGAGAAGCAACTCTGTAAGTGATAAGCCATCTCTCCCTCTCCCCTCAACAGTGACTTCAAATGTACCAGCCTTGATTCCTACATGGGACATAAAGCCACTTATCATATAGAAGGGAACATGACCCCTGAGAGTCCTGCAGCGTTCACTTGCCTCCATATAGTTACGATTACAGACTATTTCCCTGGAGGCCCAGGCAGGGTAGTGGCAGGTTTCAGCCACCTGGTACAGCTCATCTTCAACCATCCGGTTCCCATGCAATCGAAGATTCAGTGTTGTTGTGTATGCTTTATCTTCCTGCAAACGCACAGAGAGGAAACTCAAAGCCACATTAGGACACATTTGGTTCTGCTTTACAAGAATAAAATCTCCAGTCTTGTTACCAGGTTTTGAGCAAAACAGTTTTGAAGGGAGGCATAAATCACGGTGTTCCCCAGCTGGTCTGTCTTCATGCTGAAGCCACACTGAGACACTAAACTTGGCGTGAGAAGGATGGCAGAGTTATCTGAGGAGGAAAAGAAAAAGAAGGTAGGTAGAGAAAAAGTGAGACAGTTAAAAAAAAAAACAACAAATAAAAAAAACATAAAAATTCAGAATTGTTAACCTACTTATGACAACTGCAACTTCAAGCAGATTCCCTCCGAGCGGACCAACATCCACACGCATGATGTTCCCCAGACATTTTGAGCCGATATCTGGGATTAAAGGTTTATATTAAAAAAGTTAAAAACAGTATTGTTAAAAATTGCACTGCAGCAGCTGAAAAATGGACAAAACATACTTATAGAGGGCTTCTTTTGAGCTTCAATGTTTACCACTGCGATCAGGAGAGTAATCCACCTGAAAGAGATTGAATCATTTTCAAATAAACAAACTCTGAAACTGTGAACGTGTAACAACGTATAAGAACAAAAACTACAAACCCTAATACGACTAAATAACCCATGGCACGAGACGTGGCAAACTGGTAACTTTAGAGCCCCTGTTTTTGCAGCTTTTATTGAAGTTTGTGTTGGGAGTAAACTCTACAGGCCTTGAGGGAGGTTCCTGCTGAAGAAATACAGCCACACACAGGTGGATCCTGTTACAGCCTGATGGGGATAATTGAGTGTCCTGTGATCTGGCCTGAACCGAATCTCATCCACAGCAATACAAGGGAGGTAGATTGCATTTCTGCCTTTTTGATTTCAGTTTTTAAAAAAGTGCATCTCATTATAACTTTGTTATTTTGATCATCCACAGCTCCTTTAATCACACATGGACAAAAATATATATATATATGTGTAACAAGGTTAAATGTGCTTTTTAAATGATAAACTATTGGTAAGAGGAATACAAGAAAGGAATATATCAAAAAATAAGTTAAAGATGTAAGTTAAATATCCAGGATCATGCTCTAAGAAAGGGGGAATATTTTCAGGTTTTTGTGTCACAAACCTTTATAAAGTGCAGTATTGGCGCATTCATCAAACAAAAAAAAAAGTATAAATAAATAAAATCTTCCTTCCACCTTCCAGCCACATGCGCCACATATAAAATTATGATCTGAAAAGTACATTTCCCCCAATGAGACACAAATGTTAAAATGCTACATTAATTTTAAGAGTAGTACAGAAATAGACCGTAACACTCAGGGTTTGGTGCATTAGGGGAAGAAGAATTAGTTTTAAGCCATAAGCAGCACATCTGGGAGATACTGAGAATGTCTTTTTATTGAGGTAATAAAAAGATTGAAACAGCTCTCAGCTAGGACAGAGAGGTTTGTCGGTAGAACTTGTCAGATTGTCTCGTAGATTACAAATTGTCAACCAGTTTGGTTTATAACTGGTTGTAGCTGCACTCTCACCAGCTTTTTCATCTGCTGTTACAATAAAGGTATGTTGTATTTGGCTTTTGCTGCCAAATCCAGTGTTACTGCCTGACTTGGCAGTTAGCCTGCGAGCAGTGCTTTTTCACAGAGGATTGAAATGTCAGTGTGTGATTTTTACTTTCTTTACTCCCTCCAGCATGCAGACAAGCTGTGGTCAGCTGCCTTTACTTGCAGTAGTTTCACTCAAACACAAGCCAAGTGTGTTTTCTTTTTTTTCTTTTTTTCTTTTTTGATTAAACATTTAACATGCATTCAAGTGACAGTAGGTGCAACCTTTAGAGAAAGAAGGTCTATGATCTTTCAGAGGTTAAATATCCCAACTGAACTATAGATTCCTTAAGAAATGTTATACTCTTATACAAATACCATAAAAACACTGTAATATTACAGTAGGGTGTTCCTACATGTGTGCAGCCCCCCTCCCTCCCCTCTCTCCTCTCCTCTCCTCTCCTCCTCTCTTGCCCCTCCCTGTTCCCTGTAAAAGGGAACAAACTGCTGCCGTGCGGCTGTCCTGCCTTCAGCTCTTCTTGTCCTGTCCGTGAAGATGCAGCTCCGCACTCCCTCCACCGACCTGCTGTTTGCGGCACAAATGTGAAAACTATAACAACCGGATAAAAGTTATTTTCATGGAAAGAAAGGCTCCAAGTGCAGGTACGCTGCAGTTTTATATTTTCCATTCAGATTTACAAACAGACTTAAAAGTAACAGACTTATTTGCAAATAGGGTTTGGTGAAAAAGAAAACAAAGCAATGTTAGATCTACGCTTAATGCAAAGGTCAGCACAGTGTGCATGCAAACTAGCACATTGATTTATCCAGGAGAGAATGGGAAATGCCCACAGAACAATACAGTAATTTACACATACTGGAAAACAGTCCTTGGGATGATGTGCGGGTTCAGTTTCAACTTGTTGCCTCTCATTTCCTCTGAGTTAGTCTAGTTCGCTCTGTAATTTGATTCTTCTGGTGATAATCCTGTTCTTGAGCCCTCCAAGAAGTGACAGTACCTCACGCCTCTTCACTCACTCCAGTACAAGCCATTTCCTGTGTGTGCAGTATTGATTTTTTTTTCCCTTCAGAGGACTAATGTGTTCTACAAACTGTGCTGGCAAATATGTCTTGATAGACATCGGTCCACATAAATGTACCTCTCACAATCCTGACTAGATGCTTATGGTTCATTTTCTTTTCAGAAACAAAGTCTATAAACTGACAGACTAAAAATCGACAGACTTCATTTTTTGTTGTAATGTCTCTGCACGTTTCATCAGGACCATGGGGTATGGGCAAATCCTCCACCAGCGTGGGAATGAGGAGGACCAGGTCCACCTCAACGTTGGAGGGGTACGACATGAAGTGGATCCAGACATGCTGCTCCGCTTCCCTCACACACGTCTGGCTCGTCTCCTCCGCTGCCAAAGTGAGGCGGCAATCCTGGAGCTGTGTGACGACTACAGCCCGGCCGAGAAGGAGTACTACTTCGACAGGAATCCCCGGGTTTTCCTCTGTGTGCTCAATTTCTACCACACGGGACGTATCCACATGATGGAAGAGCTGTGCGTTTTCTCCTTCAGCCAGGAGATCGAGTACTGGGGCATCCAGGAGCTCCACCTGAGCCCCTGCTGTAGCAACTGGTACCACGAGAGGAAGGAGTACATCGAGGACAGAGACTGGGACATCCGGAGCGACGACCAGCAGCAGCCAAGCTTCGATTCTTCTTTCGAGGAGCTCTCTGCCCTCGATAAGGACCTGGCCAAATTTAAAGGTGCCTGGTGTGCAGAAGTGAGGAGCTACGTTTGGCTCAGGCTGGAGGATCCGGGTCACTCCACAGCCTCAAAAATCATCGCCGTGGCCTCCCTCAGCGTGGTCTTGACCTCTATTGTTGCCATGTGCGTCCACAGCATGCCTGAGTTCCAGCGTGTGGACGACAATGAGAGGCCCATCGAGGACCCTGTCCTGGCCGTCCTGGAGGAGATCTGCATTGCCTGCTTCTCCGCCGAGTTCATCATCAGACTGATTGTTGCACCCTCCCGCAGGAAGTTCCTCGGAAACCCCTTAAACATCATCGATGTTGCTTCCATTTTGCCATTTTACGCAACTTTAGCTCTGGAGACAGCCGACGAGGAGGCCGCGGAGGAGAACGAGGACTTAGAGAACGTGGGGAAAGTGGTGCAGGTTCTGCGCCTCATGAGGGTTCTCCGAATCCTCAAACTGGCTCGTCACTCCATCGGGTTGCGAGCACTGGGAGCCACCGTCCGCCACAGCTACCACGAGGTGGGTCTTCTTCTTCTCTTCCTCTCGGTGGGGATCTCCATCTTTTCTGCCCTCATCTACTTCGCAGAGAAGGAGGAGACGGAGACAGATCTGGGGACCATCCCTTCAGGCTGGTGGTGGGCGACCATCACCATGACCACAGTCGGTTATGGTGACACCTGCCCGGTGACACTGGCAGGGAAGATAGTGGCCACCTTGTGCATCATCTGTGGCCTGTTAGTGGTGGCTCTGCCCATCACCATCATCTTCAATAAGTTTTCAAAATACTATCAAAGGAACAAAGCCATGGAGGGACAATGTATCCCTAAGCCTGAGAGACAGGACCCAGAACTCCCTTATTATAACATCAGAGACTTGTTCACAGAGAGCGTGTATCCCTTCATTGGAGGTATCGCCTTCAGGAACAGTGAGAGCAGTGCAGGGGACGATACAGATGCCTCCAGTCTCCAGGACATAGAGGTGTATGATAATGACACTTGTGAAAATGGGGCAGCAAAATGAGATCTCTGCCATTTCACCAAGTGTCGCTCCCTTTACGACTGCAAGTCACTCCGTGCCTCTCAGGGCAGAGCGCTCCATCACTGACCCTGCCTTCCTACACTGTCTTCCTCCTGATATTTGACAGAGAAATATCGTGGCCAATGTTTTTTTGTTTTTTTTTTTTTTTACAAGGGAATAGCTTGTGAAATATACAGCCTCGCTAAAACCCGGAAATCTAAAGGGAATTATCTGAACCTTGCTCAGAGGTTTGAAAGCCCATTTTCTGCTTGAGAAAACTGCAATGATGCATGTAGGAGGCCATAATGTTAATGTTTTTCAAAGTAATGTCCTGTATCGATTTGTCTGAGAGTTTGGCAAATACAAAAGTCTAGAATGACAACAACACTGTTTGATGCTTGAAAATGGCATTATAGATCTCTTAAGTTGACTGATGTTGCACAGTCTGCATGAAGAAAAATAAAAGTAATATAAATAGTTGCGTAGAATTATGCAATATCATTGATGCTGATGAGGAGAGGCCACACATCTCTCTCAGAGCACGGTGGAAAGCATTGATATGCCAGGTTATTGTTATAAAATTTTTCTTATGGACAGTTGTGTTGGCATGCTGGGTGACTCCTGGGGGCTAACTCATGTGCACATGAAATAAAACTCAGTGAAGTGAATCAGAAGAAATATGCCTTCTCATTTGTCACAGGGCATACAATAAGTCGTATCACTCACTCGTTCGGGAAAAGGTTTTTAAATTCAGGTTTGTGGCATTTATTCATCACCGTATATCTGAAATTATCAGACAATGTGCAGGATTCCACATTGACTGCATCTCTTCCTGGATACAGTGACTCTTAACATCTAAATGGAAATTATTAACAATGTCTTTTCTTTAGTATGAAAATATGTAATGTATTGAAAATATAGAGGAAACTTTACCTACCCATTCCTTTCCTTTCCATGGATTTCCTGTCCTGTGTTATCATCTTCGGTTGGATGAGCTTCTGTCCTATAGAGCCAGAGATGTAAAAAGAAAAGAAATCATTCCTCTGCAGGGGTCTCAAAGGTGCTCACACAGTTCACCAGAAGCATCTTCTCTCAAAGCTAACATGTACTTGTACTTGAACCAATTATTTTTTGATTGCATGTTCAGATGGTTTCTTATCTACGGGCTGAATCTCATGGCAGTTGAGCAAAAGGTAATAAACGGACATCAGTGAGGAGCTGAGGAGGTTGGTTTCTGTAAAGATACACACTTCTTACTTTACAACAGATAGTGTTAAGGGTAACTGCAGACTAACATGAACAGA